CAAAACCCAACTCTTATGCCATTAGAAAGAGGATCATGAAAAACCTATAAAAAAATGGTTCAAGAAATTTTAGTTCGCTCATAAAGCTAAAGTCCGCTTGCTCTAGCAAAAAATGCCCACTGTGCAGCTTTGAGCTGACAATGAACATTTAGGGCTTTTCTTGTAAATTCTGTAACTTTATAAAGAAAGGCCGTGTAGAGCTGGGAGATGTCTCATTTTAATCAGAAATGTGCGGGCTACAATTATGCCTCATTATGAAAGGTTTTCATTTCTCAAAAACTGGTTTTGCAGAAAACCGAGACTTCAAGAGCCATGGGCAAAAATCCTTTTAGGCTTTTTACCAGCTCGATGTGCTCTATTAAACGAAGTATGAATGAAGGAAATCGGAGTTGGGCACCTGGGGCGGTTCTCTCGTTAGGAAGTCTTCCCTTGCCTTAATACCGTTCCAATACCGTTCCACTCCTTTCGAAAAAGAGAAATATACATAGCAGTTTTAATATTGATATGAATTGTGCATAAGGTGGGATCTTTTTTTGATTTGTGTTTAATAGTCATCATCATTAAATGAAATCGGTTTACAACTGTCATCAGACTCAGCTGAAGCAACGCTACCACCAATTGCAACAATATTAACAAATAATACTGGATTGACATTTTCACCTATTAGTCCAGCATCATGTATATCGCCACCTCTTCAATTACCAGCGTCAGTCTCTACATGGATGAATCAATCGTCATCTCCAGAGATTACATTAAGCACGGCACAGATGATATTTGTTTCAAGAAATGACAATGACCCATCAGATGTAATTCTTTCATTAGCACCTATGCCTGTATCAACAGCAGCCTCATCAAGCATCAATTCGCCAAACAGTACGGTATAACAACAAACAGAAGAACAATAGATGAAACTGTTAGTATCGAAACAGTCACAACGTCTATAGTTAGTCCAACAATTGTCAACGATGGTATTCTTGCTATATCAAATACAGTTAAAACCAAACGTAAACGATGTGTGATTGAAAAAATTGATAATGCTATTGAAACCAGACGTAGAGCAGCTGCAAAGAAAGATACAGTTTGAGCAGGTGGTTCATCGAAATCATCGAAAAAGTTAAGAAATTGATCAAATGACTATTGCATGGTTATTGCTTCTGACAGCATGTCTTATTTTTTCTTTGTTTGCTTTTTATTTCTTTCGAGACTAGCTGAACAGCATATAAAAATCTTATTTTTTTAGGAAGTACGGATGCCAGTCCACGCGAAGTATGCACTTGCTGAGAAGCTTCTCAATTTAGCCATATTTTCGTACTATTGAAATACTTTCTGGGCAAGTACTCGATCAAATGAGCATAAAAGGAAGTGCTACCTCAGCAAGCACTTCATTGGCTTTACTTGTTATCTTATGAGGAAGGTACATAATCCGCTGTAAGTACTTGTTAAGCAAGTACTGCAGTCTGGTAAATACTAGGTGCAGCCCTTAGTGAGGGAGTGCTTCAGATCACGTAATAATCTCACAGCACTTCATTCTAATCTGTAATTATCGCGGTAATTACGTGTGTTGAAAGTTAAGGTATTTTCGTCACACTCGACGGACCATTCGTCATCAAGGTGCGAATTTTCCTCACATCCACAAAAACACTCCGAAATTTACGGGAACTTACGTCACCATGCTTTTTTTTTGAAAAGCGCACTTTCGGCACTTGTGACAAAAGTACACCCTCCCTCCGCCCTTTATGACGAAAGTGCCTTTTACCAAGCAGTTGCACAAGAGGAATACCTCTAACCTCTACAAATATTTTCACTGGGCTTTCATCTCAATGAATAGTTATGAACTTCGCTCGAATAGATAGTTAGTTAATTTTCACATTAGATACAGTTAATAAAACCAGAGAGTATCATTAAAAGCAAAGAAGTTTCTTCTTAGTCACTTTTATCTACTTGTGATCCTGTGTTTATGAAAGACTATTTTTCTAGTTTTACTCTTCTCCCAGG